ACCGAAAAAAATAGAAACTGATGATAACAAGATTGTTTCGTCGGAATTGCACCGACTCATCAGGAGGCTGAACCCTCGACAATCTGCGGAGTACCGGTTTTGGATGTTTTGGGTCATGAACCCTTTGACCCTTGTTGAAGGCAGATTGCCCACAAGCGGAACATAGCAGCGAGCGGCACCCGTGTGAAGCACCAGGCCACACACCCGAAGCCACTCAACCGCACAACACCAAAGACGACTGCAAGGAACAAAACGTCAAAAGGCGAACGGCAGCAAGAAAACAACTCTGCGAAGCACCAGGCAACGCACCAGAAGTCACTCAACTGCAGAACGACACAGACGGCTGCAAGTAACAACACCGCAAGTGGAGGCACAACACAGTGCCCGTGTAATGAAGCACAAGGCAACAACCACACGACCACCACACTACACGACACACAACCAAGGAACCCAAAAGGCACGRCACATGAATGGACAGCTTGGAAGCAGCGCGGCGAAGCACAAGGCAACACGACTACCACAACCAGACTGCACAGCGAACGCAACAGCACACAACGAACAGCACGTGACCCAAGCGGGATAGGCAGCAAGGCAACGGCGACGAGCAGACAGCACAAGGCAGCCCAAACATCCAACACAGAGCAAAGCAGCATATGACCTACTCACATCACGGGTGAACACCGCAGACTGTTGGTTCCCACCGCCCAATGAGCCAGGGAGTCACTCCGCCGAACATCCGTCATCACCGACAGGCAACACACGCCCCAAACCGAGCAGCCCCCCTAAGAGTGCAGTTGGCACTCCAAACGAGGGACCACCGACTGTTTGGCACTACTTAAGGGTGCTCAGTTGGACACACAAAAGAAGTTAGAAAAAATCACATGAAGAACAGACAACAGAGAAAAAGACTAGAAAACATAAAACTGATTGTGTGTGTGTGTGTGTGTGTGTGTGTGTGTGTGTGTGTACGTTGTCATATTCACTATACACTAAAAATAGTAAAAAAAGCATGACTGTGCCAGACTGTTTCGTCGGAATTTCACCAACCCCGACAGTCTGCCAAGGATGTATTTGACTGATGGATGTGTGTGTGTGTGTGTGCGGCAGACATTGCATTGCACAGACACACACACACACACACAGACTGGGGCTCTATTCACGATTTACGACTCTTAGAGCAGAAGGGGGGGGGGGTCAGGGACACAGGCTTATCCCCCTGACCAGTAAAAAAAAAAAAAAAAAAAAAAACACTACGTTCGCGTTCCGTGTTTGTTTTTGCCCGAACACATTCGGGCAAACGTGTTCGCGATCGCCGGCGAATGCAAATGGTGTGCAACACAGGGTGGGTGTTCGTAGGTGGTCTGTGCAATTCATTCTTACCATTTTTTTAACGATTCTTAGAACAAAATGTTTTTGTTCTCGAGTGATGATTGCTTTTTCTTGGTTGATAAGATCTATCGTTTCTTCAAGTGCAGAAGTTAGTTCTTTGAGTATTTCATGGGGTTTGTAAGGTTTAAGGGGGATGTGGTTCATACCCTTCTCTACTAGTTCTCTGAGTTGATTTTTTGAAATCAACGTGAGATCTAAAGTGATGACATGAGGGATCATTTGATGATTCCTGCAAGGAAGGGTGTAAGGAAGAAATTTGTTTTGCTAGCAAAAGCATTCTGTTTTTGTTCTTTGAACCAGTTTGTGAGGTTGAAGTTTTTAAACACAGCGGCCGGTCTGTATAGCTTTTGAGCAATGTGATTGCCATACGTCCAGCTAAAGGTGATGTAATCGATCTTGGCTGCTGCTTCGGGGTTGCATTGATGATAGATTTGGGAAAATAGTTTTTTTCACTTCTATTCTTTTGAACATTCTGTTCTTGTAGTGAAGGTGTATAATATGGTCAGGTTTGCGGTTCTTCCTTCTCCAGCCGAGTCTTCCGTCTTCCATGCATTAGAGTGTTTTTTTTTTTTTTTTTAAGGAGGCGACGGTCTTGAGATATCATCATTGAGCTGACCGGCCCCAGGCAATTCAGAAATATTTGGGTTTACTCGTCAAGTTCCGTCATCGAGGTTCGAACACGGGTCTGTACTTCAACAGTTCAATGGTGTACCCACCGAGCTAGGCTCTTGGGTACTGCACTGGAGTTTATTGCTCTATTAAAATTTAAAACACAAAACATGAAAATCTTTATTCGTCTATTAGGGCCCCGAAATATGGAAAGCAAGCTGAGATTGGGGAAGGGTCAAAGAAACGGAAATGTGAGTCTCGATATTACCATGCAATGTGGTGCAAACAAGCTAGTGTTGTGCAGACTCGGAGTAGAGTTTTGGCAGAGGACGAACTTGGGGAGGGGGAGGAAGGGGGGATATTGTGTATCGAGGTGGTTTGAGAAGGCAGCGGGGGAGAGGATTGAAAGAAGGTACTTCAAACTGAGATCATTAAAAAAAATCATTTATTTTTACCGGAAAAGGAGAACAGCAAAGTATCTGCAATTCGGTCACCTGGTTTAAGGCGAGGTACTAAACTCATAAGAATTGTCTATCTGCCCCTTATCATTCTTCTACTTCAACCCGCTTCAACGTCGATCTAGGGCACTTGAGGGGTTGCTGGAGGTATTTCCTACTAGTTAGTAGTATGGCCATATACAAGTATACCCTTCTGACTGTCACATGATCTATATTGAAGAGAGGATGAGTCTATCCTGATCATACTCTTGCCCAACGTTCCTTCTGGTTGCTTTGGGTATAACCACTTCTTGCGTCTCTTGGACAAGGACTTCGTCTCCAATCTTGATGCTGCTCATGTGTGTCACTGAGAGAGAATCTTTTTTGTTGAAGCCTTGAAGAATATGTCCAAATGAATTGACAGCCTTGATTGGGGTGTTCGGCGATGGTGAGCCCACATTGATTGCATTATGATGTGTGGATCCAGCGTGTGGAGATTTATCAGGAACGTTAATTATCTGTGGGGGGAGCTGGGGCGTAGAGCGGGTGGGTGGCGGTCGGGCTGTGAGGTGCCCAATTACCTGTTGCATGTCGGGCATTCAGTTTTTTTTGGCCTGGATTTGCTTGCTGGCTGCGGTTGAGTAGGGGTTGGTTTGCTTGGGTAGAGGTGAGGTTATGCTGTGTGGGGAGAAGGAGAAGGGGTTGTTGTGTGCTAGGGAGATGCTGTGAAGCTTGGAGGGCATTTAGGATGAGGTTCTGTGCCTGGGGTTGTAGCGTAGTGGTGGTGGATTGTTTGCTGTTATTTCTAGAAATGCGTGTTCTTGTGGCTGCTGGCCGTCTGGTTCGGTTCGTCCTGCGGTTGGTTTTGGGTCTTATGGTTTTGGGAGGAGGTGCTGTGATATTCTGAGCAGTTGCAATGGTCTGAGGGTCTCGCATCTGTTGGACTACTTGCAGCGTGTTGTTGAGCTGGCTGTGAGAGCATTGTTCTGAGGGGGGAAACAATGGGTTTGTAGCGGGAGTGTCTGGTGGTGGGTGTTGCAGGTGGGCTGGGTGAGTGGGTGAAGTTGTTGCTGCATTGATGCTGGTCTGGTCAGAGGAGCATTCCTGGGATGGAAGGGAGTGCTGGTGGAGGGAATGCCGGTGGGAGGGTTGGCAGGCGGGGAGCAGCGGTTGACTGATGCCGGGGATATGCAGTGTGGGCTTGCCTGTTAGTAGGAGCAGTGAAGGACGGTGCCATTTCCCACACAACCTGCTTCTCCGAACAATGTCTGAAGCGGGAGTGCTGGACTTCCATTTGCCTGCAGGCTGAACAAGAATTTTTTCCGTGGAATCTGGGAGTAAGATGGAGGCAAACCTTGCAGCAAAGGGGACGTTTTTCAGCGAAGGATGGTCGAGCAGTTGCTCAACTGTGCTTTCCGGGTTATCGATGAGTCGCTCAAGGATGTCTGTTATCATTTTCCTCATGTAGGGGAACGACACTTGCGCGAGTACTGGCTGTTTCCATTCCATTCCAACCGTTGCTGGAAATCCAGCATGCGAGTAATGTCTGAAGGCGCATTCGGTTCGATGAAGTCCAAATTGGCAATGCAATACCAGAGGAAGTGGTCACACCATGTAATGGTCTTTCCACAGTTCGTACTGCATGTGCACTTTAGGAAAGCGTGACCAGCATTCCAAAACTTCTTCAGTTCTTCCAATGTTCGTGGTACTCCAGGAAAGTTCTTTTGCACAACGACCTGTTTGGAGATCGGATACTTGGTCTTACGACTCTTATCTACTATTGCCAAGATGGGAAAGTCTCCATCGAAGGCTGGTCTGTTCTGTGGAATATGGAGGGTGAAGTCCTCTGCCGCCTAATTGCATTGCTTCATCTCCCTGTTCTGTGGAATACGGGGGGCAAAGTCCTCTGCCGCCTAAATGCTGACCCTTTTCCCCTCCTGATGTTCAGGCTGGACCATCCCTTCCGCACGTACCGGTCCTGTATCCAATCCACGACAAATGGAGCTATGGCGAAGTTGGGTAAACATTTCTTTAATGTCGAAAGTCGCCCCCACACAACTCTCTTTTCCTTTGGATCTGATTTATGTATTCACTTCTGAGTCATCAATCCTATCTATCAGCAGGTTGGTTGCATTCAGGTTAGAATTAGTGGATTTCAAAAGTAGAAACAACAAGTGGATCAAGGCCCTTGTCTACGTCCCCCACGCTTCCTTCGAGGGTTCTGAAAACGAAAGACTGATCGGTCTAAACTGAAAGATATCCTTTCGTTTTGGGATGATGTACGAGAAAAGTTATAAAATCTCCCCATGACGAAACTTGTGTTCATTTCCCCCAAAATGGGCCAAAAAGTGTCGCTGGCCCCAATTGACTTTTGGCGTCATGTTTTTACACTGTAAAACATTTTCCCGCCATTTTTGCACAGCGGGCGTTGCCGGCCCAGCCAAGGTGCTGTGACACTTTTTGCCCCATTTTGGCGGAAATGAATATAGAGGGTCCGTCGCAGGGAGGTTTTATAACTTTTCCCATGATGTATGCTTGACCGCATCTTCCATTCCTGTCTCATTTCCTCAATGCTTCAAGTCCCGACTGTCAGAAACTTTCCTGCTTTTGTTTCCCATACAACTGTAAAGTTGTCATTTCCCCAAAAAGTATCCTTTAGCGTACACGCACGGGCACATTACTACTGTTTTGTGCAGCAGTTATATCTATTGCAAATGTCATCAAGTCCGAACGCATGTCCTTGCATTTTTCAACCCTGTCATCACCCCCGGATCCTTGTTTGTGCACCAGTTCTCACAACCAACAACTTTCTTTTTTCTTTAACCATCAGTACTTCCTAAGGTCGTGCCCGTTAACGAGTCACGATTAAAAAAAAACGTACGGGCCACTGCAGGAGTGCCCAAATTCATCTGACTATTAATGTTTCTAGTACTTTCTACTCTTTTTTTTACCATGAACTGACATGATTTCGTTAA